TTGCTACTTTCTTCGTTCATCTTCTGCCCTCGTCCTTGTTTCATCCGTTCGTCCCGATCGGAGCAGCACCCCTGAAGTCGCGATCTGCTAAACTCCACCGGACCCCTCCCCTTTCCCTCTTCAGTCCGTTCAGGAAAGGTACTTCCCTCTCCGATTTTCCCTTCCTTCGAGTTGCTGACGGCGACAGGACTAGTGAACCAGGAGAAGCTCGCCGGTGATCGACTGCCACTCTTCCTCCCTTCGCATTATCTGCTGTCGGATCAGGAAAAAAGGGGAAACGACGAGGATTCTGCTTCCACCCCTTGCCACCGCGGTCGGCGACAACAGCCACCTGCTGCTTCCATTTTTTGACCGGTGTCGTCGATCAGTCACCACCGGATTCTCCCGATTGCTACTTTCTTCGTTCATCTTCTGCCCACGTCCTTGTTTCATCCGTTCGTCCCGATCGGAGCAGCACCCCTGAAGTCGCGATCTACTAAACTCCACCGTACCCCTCCCCTTTCCCTCTTCAGTCCATTCAGGCAAGATACTTCCCTCTCCGATTTTCCCCTCATTCGAGTTGCCATCGGCGACAGGACTAGTGAACCAGGAGAAGCTCGTCGGCGATCGAGTGCCATTCTTCCTCCCTTCGCATTACCTGCTGTCAGATCAGAAAAAGGGGGAAACAACGAGGAGTTTGCCTCCACCCCTCGCCACCTCGGTCGGCGATAACAGCCACCTGCTGCTTTCATTTTTTGACCGGTATCGTCGATCAGTCACCATCGGATCCTCCCGATTGCTACTTCTTCGTTCATCTTTTTCCCTCGTCGGTGTTTCATCCGATCGTCCCCAATCAGACGCACAAATGAAGAAATTTACATTTAAGCCCATCCAAAGATGAAAGGATAAAAATGCCCTTGATGTGGGGGATGCTAACAGCTAAACAAACGGAGAAGTTAATAGAGGGACCGGGCGGGTAACAAATTAAAGTTTTAGGGACGGTCCGAGTTAAAAAATCTTTCTAGGGACCAAGCATTCAAGTAACCCATAACCATAGGGACCGTCCATGTAATTTTCTCAATAATATACCTTAATTTCTAAAGAAACCCTGGAAATCTTCACAACCTTCTACCTCTGATTTCTTCATTGTTTCTTCATCTTTTCTCGCAACTCCGGTGTGGTTTTCACATGATTTTTCACGCTCTATATAATGCTCAAGTTTGTAACTAATAAAATGGTTTAAATCGCTCATATTTACTACTCCATTAAGGATGATGGTTGTAGGGGTTTAAAACTCATTATTTTCTCTTAATCAAATTTAATAATACTTAATTAATTTATCTAATTACTGAAATAGCAGCTAATATGAACCGTCTTGCCGCACTTGACATAGTGGCCCCGACCCTGATGGCCTCCATATCGGAAATCAGAAGTTCTAGACTTCTTTGCTCCAGTCCCGGCTACATGAACCTGTGTTGGCTTTCGCTTCTTCAGAAGCTCCAACTCAATCTCTCGTTCGCGTGCTCTGTTAATCATTTGATCCAAAGTCTTGATACTCGAAATACTAACAAACTCCCTCATTTCGTCTCTCACATATCATGATATCGCGTCTTCTTCATCTCCCTGTCTGCAATATACTGCAGAAAATGAAAATCCCTCTCTTTGAACTTGGCGGCGATCACCGCCATAGTCTCCGACGTCTGACGAAGGTCCTGAAACTCCCGTGCTAGCTTCTGAACCTCGATAACAGGCGCGGACTCTTCTTTGAACGTGATAACAAAGTCTGCCCTAGTCATCCGATAGGCATTCTCCATGTCTGCAATCCACCGACTTTTGGCTATGGGGTCCTTCTTGATAGGTTTTGAGCACTATAACCTTCCTATGGTGCACATACAACCCTAATGATTTGGATATAGGTTTTCTCAAGTTATACATGCAATTTCAATTATCCAAAGCATGAACCCTAGTTCTAGCATGCAATTTTCGAAATTGAATACACAAAACAAAGTTAGATGAATACCTCTTTGTTGTATCTTGTAGATCTTGACCTTTTGAGAGCTTTAGTACCTCAAATATGATACCTCTAATAAGTCGCAAACACCAAGAGCAAGTTGGAAGAATATGAGAGAGGCTAGGAAGCACTAAAATCGGCTGGTATTCCTTCTAGGGTTCAAGTGGCCGATTTTAGGTATCCAAAGGGTTCCTTATATAGCTGGTCCACTAGGGTTTCAGGTAAAACCCTAATCCAGTTGCTTAATCCTCAAGCAGCCCACAAGATCCTTCCAGAAGGCCCTATGGATTAAATCTATGTGAACTCCCTCATAGAATTCATCCATCCCTTCTTTAGGGATCCATAAGCCCAACTTTGCAATTATCTTATAATTACAATATCATTCCCCTTAATTCAATTAGTCTCTTTTGACCACCAAATTAGTTCTAAATTAATTCTTGATCAATACTTATTTGATTTCTCAATTAATATATTAATCTTATAATATATTAATAAATCACAATTAACCTCATTCTCCATTATTCATCCAGTCAAGTTGCTAAGGTGAAGGCAACCCAAAAGGACCATACTACTATCGGGTCAAGTACATACCAATTATAGTTATGGGCTTAGACACCTAATCCAACAGTCTCCCACATGGATAAGTCTAATAACTATAACTACCAATGTAACTTTAAAATCCGATTAGCAATCGTAGCTCTCAAAAGTCGTCGTCAAACTCTGACCTAGTCAATAACGCGTCCTTTAGATAAGGGATCATATAATCCTCTGTTCTTCAAGATATCGTGTGGACAAAGACATGGAATATAATCATCCTCATTGTCTAACTGTTTGTTTCCCGATTTCTGATTTGTTTGACATAGAACTTAATTGAACGCATCAATTAAGTCCTGACCGGGCCCGACACATAAGTAAAAAAAAAATCATTGAGGGGCCCAAGATATCACTTTTAATCCTCTTAGGATAAAAGGAACAGATAAACTTCGACTTATATGCTTGTAATTATTACTTGTTAAATTATACACAACAATATTGTTGGGTTTTAGTATACTACAACATCCTATGGTGCACACACAACCTTAAATACCTTGGATCTATGTTTTCACTAATTATACATGAAAAGGAGTTTCCAAGGTATTAAGCCTATAACTAGCATGCAAAGATGTAAACTACACAAGATGCTAGTTAGTGTAACATACCTTTTATGTGGTTGGAAGTCTTGATGCATTTGGCCTTTAAGAACTTAGTGCCCCAAGTGTTGCACCTCAAATGGAATCACAACTCACCTAGAACAAAGGTGACTCTTGAGAGAGAAACTCCATGCACCAAAAACCTTCATGAACTCCGAGAACATGCACACACACTAGGTGGCGGTTTTTGGTCATCATATATGTATTTATATGTGTGGTATTTCAAGGGTCATGGGTATAACCCAAATCCATATCCATGGGTTTTTATGATCCATGGTTCATGTGGCCCAACTCTTTATATATCCATACATAAACTTGGTCCAACATGGATCATAAGCCCAACACATATAAATATAACTAATTACCATAATTAGTCCCCATAGATTTAATTAGTCTCTTTTGATCACTAAATTAATTCCAAATTAATTTTTGATCAATCCTAATTAAAACATATGATTTCATATTAATATATTATAACTTATAATATATTAACAAATCATATATGTAATCTTCTCTCAAGAGTCCATCCTAACAAATTGTCCTGGTGTTATGCAACCCAAATGGACCATGCTACTCTCGGGTCGAGTACATACCAATAATAGTTATGGGCTTAGACATCTAATCCAACAGTCTCCCACTTGGATAAGTCTAAAATTATCATTGCGTATGACTCCAACATCCCGACTAGCAATCGTAGCTCTTAAAATCCGTTGTCGAACTCTGACCTAGTCAATGACGTGTCCATTA